TTCTGATTTACTATACTTAAGATGCATGCATGCATGCATTCATTAATGGATAAAACAGATGGGTGATATACCCAAGAGCTTGTAACTGTTGTAGATTTTGTGCTCTGCTTTGAATACTAAAACCAATGCCCTCATCTTAACAGCTTCATAATAAACAATAAGGACACCTTCTTCAGCAATGCTACTCGAAGTAGAATAGTCTATCACATGCTGCAACGTACTAAATATGAAAATGGAATCTCAAAAGTGGGTAAGAACATTAATTAACATCCTAGAAAAAATGGAATGTGCTGATAGTTATGCTCAGAATTATTATTTTTAAAAACTGAAGATTTATCTTCATGCATTCAATATGAAGATGTAACACATTGAATACAAACTTTAAATATTCTACTTTGCAGCATTGTAATGAAACAAAAACAAAAATTGGTATGCATCAAAATGTGAAAATACTTTGACACAGCAATTTTACTTCTAGAAAATTATTCCAAATAAATAATCAAATTTTTCAGTAGTAATCTATGTGGAAGTGTGATCATGGTTGCTTTGTTAGTAATAGAAAAAACAAAAAGGAAAAATGGAAACACCTTAGATATCTGCCTTTGAAGATGAACAATTAAATTAGGCTGTATCCGTATAGGGAGATCTGGGCATAGAGCCTAAGCATTTGACTGCTAACCAGAAGTCTGGTGGGTTTGAACCCCGCAACCACTCCTCCGAAGGAAGATTGGGCAATCTACTTCAGTAGAGATACTGCCTCGGAAACCTAAGGAGGGGTTGCTTGAGCGAATCAACTCGACGCCAGTGATTTTGGTTTGGTTTTTTGTGTATCCATAAGGAGCCCTGGTGGCATAGTGGTTAAAGAGCTCGGTTACTAACTGGAAGGTCAGCAGTTTGAACTCATCAGCTGCTCCACAGGAGAAAGATGTGGCAGTCTGCCTCCATAAAGATGAATTACAGCCTTGGAAACACTACGGGACAGGTCTAATTTGTCTTGTAAGGATGATGTGAGTTGGAATCGATTCTATGGCAGTGGTTTATATCTATATACTGTGTCCCTTAAAAAGTGTTTCACATTCTTTCATCACAAATGTATAGCCTATTTATTATCTGTATATTATACAGAGTGTAGAACATAGACCCTTCACTTAGGGAGGCTGGACATTAGTGATTCTCTCTTTATTGATTTCAAAAATATCTACCAATGCATTATTAAGTGAAAAAAGGAAAATCATAAAACTGCAAGGTAATTGCAATTCATAAAATATATATCGATATATGAAACTTTATAGACTTATCTGCAGAAGGTGAACTGATAGCTAAATTTAAATGTGTCAATTTTTATGTTTGGCTGTTTAACATTGAGCCACTATATGTACAATACAAAAGGAAATTTAGAAAGTTTCACTTAGGAAAATTAAATAAAATTGGAAAGTTTATATAAAACAAAAGGGGGAAAAAAAAGTGACCAAATAGGCAGATCTTTTAATTGTAAGGTTGAAAAACACAAGCAAACTAGAGAGATCAAATGTTAGTCATGTCCTAAAATCTTGAGCATAGAAAGTTGGTAGTTGGTAGAAGTGTAAAGCAGTCCCTGCTGATTTGCATTAAAATAGAATGTCTCAAAAGTTAAATGAACTGTTTCATATTAAGCTTTTTTTTTTTTTTTAAATGAAACTCAGACTTTGATTCTCTTCTGACTAATAATCCCAGTAGTACCCAAACCCATTACTGTTGCATCAATTGTGACTCATAGTGACCATGTAGGACAGAGTAGATCTACCCCACAGCAGTAAATCTTTACAGAAATAGATGCCACATCTTTCTCCTGCACAGTGGACAGTCAGTTAATGGTTTCAAACTGCTGAGCTTTCAGGTCCTAGCCTAGTGCTTAACCACTGCACTGCCAAGATTCCTCCCATTAATACTAAACTCAAAAACTCACTGCCATGGAGTTGGATCTGACTCATAGCGATCCCTCCTTGGGTTTCTCAGTCAGTATCACTACAGAAGTATGTTGCCCAACCTTCCCTCCGAGGAATGGCTGGTGGGTTTGAACCACCAGCCTTCTGGTTAGTAGTCAAATGCCTTAGTCACTATGCCACCAGAGCTCCCCCTCCCCCGCATTAATACAGAGAAGCCAAAATAGTTACTTTAGACACCAACCAAACCAAAGCAAACCCACTGCCTTCAAGTCAGGTCTGACTCATAGCAACCCCTCCTTGGGTTTCCGAGGTGATATCACTATGGAAGTAGATTGCCTAACCTTCCTTCCGAGGAGTGGCTGGTGGGTTTGAACAGCCAGCCTTCTGGTTAGCAGTCAAATGCCTTAGGCACTACACCACCAGAGCTCCTTTTAGACACCAAAGCTTACTAAAAAATAAAAATACCATCTAGTCAGAAATATTCTAGAAAGAAATGAAAACAGAGAAATCTAGACTAGGAACTAAAAATTATTAAGTATCTATATTATAGCACTATGTACTTATATAATCTTAAAAATAAATATGATATTTTAATGACTATAAAATTATCATGCCCTTTATAGAAAATAAAATGAATACAGAAAAGTATAAAAATTTAAAAGTTATCCCAAATTTCAATTTTCTTTGTTAAAATTCATAGTGATGAGTTAGAATCATGCAGTCTTTACAATTTTTTATCTTGTTATTCTTTAATTAGCATTAAGAATATTTTCTCAAGCTCTAAAGTATTTTTTGAAAATACTGTAAAAAGCCCCATAATAGTCCATTATAGTCATTTGTCAAATCATAATTTATTAAATACATAATATGAGTAATTATACCATACATACATTAGATGAGTCCCCAATTTTGGATGTTCAATTCTATACTAATATAAATATTATTTCAACAAAATTTACTCTCCAAAAATATTGTCCCAGTATTTTTTTTTTTTTCTCACTAGAGCTATAGAGAGAGTATCCATTTCACTGTGCACTCACTGAGATGGAGGGGATTTTAAGGAAATGTCTCATGTTGATATCTATATCTCTTTGACTCAATATTAAAAAAAAAAAGTTAAAATTGCTCAATACTAGTATCTTTTTGAGACATTTTTGAGTTGTGGAATTCCCATGTTTTCCTGATCAAACTGCATTGTTTAGAGGATTTAAAAAAAAAAAAAAGAAAGAAAGAAAAGTTGCTCCCAGCTCATTGGATCCCAAAAAGTGAGTATTGAAATGTGCCACATTTCATAATGTGGCAGTATGAAAACACTGCTAGGATTTTACCACTGTTCTTTTACTAATGTTGCAAAGACACTACTAGACTCTTAGCATCATTGTCTTTCACAACCTCACTGTCCTCATGGGCAATGTGGCTATAAAGACCTTTTGGTTATTCTCACGTCTTAAATTAATTATGTGTTAAATATGTGTATGTTGTTGCTCAGAGGAAAATGTTTATTTAAACTGTCTTGATAGCTATTCTTTTCTTCTCTTTCCAGGTATCTGTAAACTTATCAACAATGGTGCATATGAAGCAGCATTTCCCCCACATGAGGTAACTTTAAATACCAATCAAAAACTATCATTTCTGTTAAGAAGTAGTTTCTCAGGCTCAATGCTCAATACCATTGTTTCATTTGAGTCTGGCTTCCATTGCTCAGAGGGTTCAGTGAACATGTGGCCCTGGGCCTTTCTGAGACCCCGTTAGTATCATAAGGTAGCACAGTAGCTCCTCTGCCTCGGAACCCTTCTGCAATTTGTCCTTGTTGCCCTGGCAGATCAGGAAGGAATCCCACCTCGGAGGGAACACTTGGACGTTGTTGAGCCACTCTGTAATGACCCCAGTTAGGGGAAGAAATGCTGACAATCTCTTCGCTCCAGTGCGGAGCTCCATGCTTCACCCAGCTTGGGATCCACATCACACACAGACAGGGCAGGTGTCAGGTTGGTGCCTAATACTTACGATACCTGAAAATCTACAACACTCCACACATCATAAAAACCTACTTCCCACGACCTACTTGATTCTTTGCCGGATTAATGCCTCTCTTCCAGCTGTGATGGACCCTTCTTGCTGAGTTATGAATAACATTTGAATCTGTTTTAACTGTCGCCCTAAACACAAACTGAATTCTTCTTTCTTTAAGGTAACTTTACATTTCAAATAAGAATGAAGTCTTTAGAGGTCTTCACTTCTGAACTCTTAAAAACGATCACTCTTCCATGTATAAAATTAAATTTGGGGACTCAAAGGATATCATCTCCGTACTGGAGGAGTTCACAGACCAGTATCTCTAATAGTAGCTAAAATAAATTGAGCACTTCATATCTGACTAAAAATAAATGTTTTAAATGGATTATCTCATTTTATTTTTAGAACAACCTTTTGAGATAGACAATAATATTAATTCCATTGTATAGAAAGGTAAATGGAGCCAAGGATAAGTTAAGTATCAAAGGCAGGTTTGGAGCTGACAAAGCCAGACACTAAATTCATTGTGGTGTACAGACTTAAAAAGGAATAGTAATAGCAGCCGGTTGTTAGTGTGCTTCATGTGCCAGCCCTGGGCATGGGTTTTCTCATTGTTTCTAATGATAATTCTAGAAAGATAGATATTATTCCCATTTAGATATAAAGAAACTGAAGCTCGTAGCTATTAAATACTGCCAAATGCCACACAGTAAGTGGTAAAGTGTTTAGAGTGGCAACCTGAGGTCCTGGAGAGGTTATGTAGCAATGGAAGTTTTGGTTTTCTACTTGTGTACTTTTCTCTACGTAAGTAACCTAAGTTTTAATAGTTTTTTTTTTTTTTTTACTTACAAACAAGATAATGACTGAAGGAGAAAGAAATGCATTGTCAAGGGAATTTGGTATGACAATGAAAAAAGAAAGGAAAATATATGTAAGAAAGTTTGCTCAAGAAGTTGATAGAATCTATAATTCTGTCAATTATGAATAATGGAGACAGTAAAAGGTGTACTGGGGGCCAATTTTGGGGATGGTAGGAGTCATGGAATGTACATGATCTTCCTCCATAAATGTATGAAGACTGGTGGTGAGCAAGAGGATCACTTTGGTCAGTTTTTCTTACAGCCACTCTCATACCACTGTCAACTCAGAACAGACCCAGAAAAGCTTAACAGCTACAGACCCAGAAATCCCTGTTATCTGAGTACTAAGGCTGAAAAGGAAAGTTGTGTATTTTGGACAGCTTATAAGCAATCATAGAAAAAATTTGAGGTTCGGGTTCACTTTCTTTAGCTCCCTAATCTCAGGGCATTCTGCCTAACAGGGCCCTCCAAATGCAAAGGCAAACACATCTTTGCCAAATGGATATCCCTGTGTTTAGAATCTAGGTATTTACTTCCATCTCCTCAGCTACTGTTATTTAGTCTGAAAACATCTTGGGCTACTGTTGGGTGAAAACATCTTGGGCTACTGTTTGGAAGATATCTTTGAGATTCACTGTAACTGTATTTACACTTTTATGTAAGAAATATATTTCTTTAGAGGTCCAGAGGTGACATCCACACATGTCTCTAATTGTAACCTTGACACATCTACCAGCCATAATTCAAGGTGTGCCCTCTTCTTCATAGAAACTCACATACCTGGGTCTGGAAACATTTTGATGAATGTTTTGTACTTTTCAATGACCACAATATATCAAACACATAAAAATAACTAACGTTAATTGCATATTTTCTATGTACCAATTATTTTATAAGAATTATCCAAGCGGCCTATCACAAAAAAAATTCTATATTGAGTATCATTATAATGATGATGATTCATATTTTATAGATGTTGAAAGTGAAGTATAGCTCTACTTGTTTTAAATTTTCATCAAACTTTTCATAAAAATAAAATCATACATTGGAAGGAGGAGGCTGTTTTCATACCCTATGTCTCATGCTTTGGTGCAGAAAATACTGTCACTATCTCTTGCCCTTTTCCATGATTATAAAAGCAGAACTGTTCCATCATAAGAAACACTTAGCTCCATAAGGTATATATAATTTTTATTTCCTAAATTACAACATTATGACAGGTTTTTTTGAGGGAGGTTATATAGAATTTGAAAAAAAAAATGTTTCAGTGTTTGAATATTTTATCTGAAGTACATGTTGTGGATTCTAGAAGCATGACTAGCATTCCTGTTTCAGCCCTATTGTACTTTTTGTACAAGTACTCATTCTAATCCCCTCCTTATGAGATGGAAATACATATATATAAACATGAATATAAAATAAAAAAACTTTTTATGGAACTAGTTCACTTCTTAATGCAGATTAATGCTCTAAAATTCTGAAGTAAATATTATAACAGTTTCTCTTTGTGAAGGTGAAGATAATACATTATTGAAAGACAATTTCCAACCAGTGAAATCTAAAGTCTATTTTATTATAAGTGCAATGGATCTCATCAGTTTAGAAAAGGGTACAACAAAAGCTTCTTAAAGAACAGACACATGCACACCCATGTTCATCGCAGCACTATTTACAATAGCCAAAAGATGGAAACAACCTAGGTGTTCACCAACTGAGGAATGGATATCAAAACTATGGTACATACACACGATGGAATACTATGCAACCCTAAAGAATAATGTAGAATTTGGAAAACACCACATAACATGGATGAACTTGGAGGACATTATTCTGAGTGAAATAAGTCAATCACAAAAGGACAAATATTGTATTAGTCTGTTATTGTAATAGTCAAGGAAAAGTTTATCTATGGAAGGTCATTTTCTTTGTTCGTTACCAGGGGTAGGAGGGGAGGGGAGGGAATACTGTTAGATAGATAGAGATAAGTTTTGATTTGGGTGAAGAAAAGGGCAATGTACCATATGTGAGTGATCAACATGATGGCATTGAGGAAGAAAAAGATGTAGAGAGGTACATGGGAAGTACAGACAACAGAGATGAACCCTTTTGTGCATATATACAGTGTGGTCAATGAAGGCAAACAAGGGTATATGGGTGGATAGATGGGTGGAAAGGCTGAAATATTAGGTATGTCTATGAAGTGGAGAGTGCACCCAAGGACATGTATAGGGTTGGCAGACAGTGGTCCAATAACTTTATATGTATGACCTGAATTCCCAGGTGTATAATGAGGCTGACAAGGGCACAGTTGTAGTCACTGCTTGGTCACAGCCAGCTACCCAGAGGGACCAAGAAGTTGAACCTGTGGGCTCGGGACCATAGTCGCAAAGGACATCAAGCTCAATTGGCATAACATACTACACAAAACATTGTTCCATGTCCTACTGTGGCAAGTAGCGAGTGAGATCTTAAAAGCTTGCAAGCTGCCATGTAGATGAAACGATGATGTGTCTCTCCTCATCCAGAATGAAGAAAACCAAAAATTAATGGAAATGATTAGTCCTAGTGACTGGTACACCATCTGATCTGCAGCCTATACAACTATGAGACCAGAAGAAATAGACGGTGCTCAGCTACTATTGTCAACCACTTGGAAGAGGATCTTTGTAGGAGATCTTGGATAGACAGGGAGAACAATGTGGAACAAAACTCAAAATCATTTGGATAAAAAAAAGGGGAGGGGACCAGGTTTGCTGGCCCAATGGAGCCTGGTGGAACCACTGAGACTATGGCCCCTAGCTGCCCTTCAGGTCTGGAATTGAATGTACACCTGTGGCTTCCAACCAAAAAATAGACAGGCATATCAGTTGAGCATTTAATACCTGAGGTAGATACATTCCTTGGAGAGAACAAACATAAGAGAAAGAAGGGCTGCTTAGACATAGGGAGAGAGCTCAGGGGGTAGGAGTGCATGGAGGGATGGACACAGGGAAGAGGTAACTATCAGGAGGAAGTGGGAGGGGAGATGTTGCATTGTGCTAAATTGTGGTCAATGTCATGAGACAAAGTGTATGTGAACTGCTGTATGGAAAGTGTATTTGCTCTGTAAATTTTCACCCAAATTGCAATTTAAAAAAAAAGAAAGAACTTTTTAAAGAGCTATCAGAGTATTTCTAATAAGGAGAAATATGGAAGGGCATTTACTACATCATTCCAATGATGAGCTTAAGTTCATAATTTCTGAAGTTTTCAGTATGTTTTAAATTATTCCTTAAAGAAAAATGAAAACAAAACAAAAAAACAATTCTGATTTAGTTTAAATTTCACTAAGAAAATGGATGCTGATTTATCTTTTTTTTTAATCTGTTTTAGGGAGCCTACAAGAGTAGACAGCCCATCAAAACCCACGGGCCTCAGAATAATAGACATCTATTATATGAGCGCTGGGCACGCTGGGGGATGTGGTATAAGCATCAGCCTCTGGATTTAATCAGGTACCGCAAATGGATTTAGAATGGAAGACAAACTCTGCTGTTTTGTTGTCATTTATTTAGACTTGTAATGATTTCATTTACCCACCAAATCATCTGTGTCATTTAAGACTCAATCAGGAAAAAAAGAAACCACTATAATTTTCTCCAAATAAGGAACTTAATGCAGAGAGTTGGTTATAGAGGTGATGGGAGAGCTGGGAAATTAAGCAGAGGTAGTGAGAAATCCACAGGTTAGCAAAAGGTGAAAATGACTAATACTCCTAAGGCTAGAGAGACAATGGAAAGAGGTTAGCACTGCCAGAGTCCAGTATGTGCGCCATTGGGCAGGAGCTGTACCATTTGCTGGGGCTGCTTACAGAGAAGTGGTGGTGGTGGACCCATGAAGCTGACATAGTTATTTGTGGAGACATCCCTAAGAAAGAGGAAGAGAGCAGAAAAAGTTCCAGCTTCTTACGTGTACCTTCAAGTTTTCCAGTACTTCTTGGCTCAACTTAACTAGAAGCAATTTATAAGGGAATCTGGGAAGTCTATATCCCTGGTAAAAAACACTTCAAAACTGGGAAAAGAAGATAGATCTGAGAGCAACATAGCATCTATTCATATACTTATCTTTCAACAAAAATTTCAGGAAGCTTACTCTACTGAGCCGCAGCCTTCAACTTGAACTAATCTTGAAATACTGTTATATTTATGATTATTCACCTTTTAATTTGATGATGATAATATGCTCTTTTTTGGAAAAAAAAAAAATAGGAAGAATATATTAACAAGGAGTCAGTCAAGTCCCTAGGTAACCATATGTCATTGTAGAATGAATGAACAAGGGCCATTTTATGTTATTATAAGATTGATATTTTAAAATTTTATAACCTATATATACCAAGGATAACTTATAACCATGTCATTCAGTGCCCCATAAACAAACTGATGGAATACTGAAAAGGCACTTGAAAAAAATTCAGTACATCAAAGTCTGCACATAGTCTAGGGATTCAGAAATGAGCATGATGCACCCAGGGGGCAGCAGCAGCCAGAGGCCATTATAACACTGGTCTTGAGGGGCAAGGAGAGAGAGCAGTTAGAAGAACCTGTTAAAAGCTAGAACCATGAAAGAGAAGCTTCCTGACAGAAGCTATGGCCTTGGGAAGAAAACAGGTACTGCCAAACCACTGCCCAATAAGAAGGCAGCTGGAGTAATAAATATTCTAACATATTTCTTCTCTGACTCAAGATCTCCTGCTGGTGTCTCCAATTGACTGATAAACACATCAGGAAGCTGTATGAAGGGAGCCTGGTTGATGAATTTCATAGAGATGATCCTCCTAAGGCATATAGCAGAGAGGAAAAAGGATCAGGGGGTTTAAAGGGTAAATATTCAGCTAAGTACTTGAGTGTATCTAGCATCAGGATACTTTGATTGTGATTCAGTCAACTGCATCAAATTCTCAGATTTTATTCATGCAAGTAACTAATAGAGTGAAGAAACAACAGTCAGACCTATAAGGTGAACGGGGAAAGGATATTTATTTTATTATTATTTTAGAGATGCAGTAACACAGAGGTGCTGCTTCACAAAGTCATCTTTTTAGGAATTAAAATAAAATTGAATTTTCAAATAAGCATTTAGTGCTACTTCAGGTAATTTCATCAAGTACCCAATATTCCAGTAAGTATAATTATTTAGCTACTATTACCAGTTATTTGGTTGCTGACATAAAAGAAAAATTTGCTAGTGAAAAATAAAACATTTTGCCTTTAAGGGGTCAAAGAAGGAAGTGTGAAGAGCCGACCCAAGAGGAAGCTCATCTAAGAGAATAAACACCATTTCAGTATGGCTGCTAACATCAAGGACTTGTTTGTTAGCAAAATTGATGTGTTGATGAGACAGAAACACATATTAAACTATGCAGTTTCACACAGAATTTTTTACAAGGCTTAGTTTTCTACAACCAGAAAGAAGATTGAATCTTAAAATCTTAGATTTTTAATTATTTGGTGCTAATTTCATTATCCTTAAGATCACACAATGTTGAGGGTGTAGTTCCGTTTTTTTTGTTGCTTCCTATCTGTAAGATGGTAAAGAGAATGGTCTGGAGTTTAATTTTTTATATACATTGATTCAGATGATAGAAACCTACAGGTAAAGGCTGTATTCTTTCATGCTTGTTATGAATAAGGCAATTCCTTAGTATTAGATTAAATGTGATGGGCTAAAATTTTTGAACCTGGAAATAGCACATTGCTATACAAAGTTCCTAAGGCGTTTGACTGCTAACCAGAAGGCTGGCTGTTCAAACCCCCCAGCCACTCCTAGGAAGGAAGGCAGGGCATCTATCTACTTCCATAGTGATACTGCCTTGGAAACCCAAGGAGGGGTTGCTCTGTGTCGATCAGACACCATGGCAGTGGTTGCATTTGCATTGATATGTTGTCTGATATCTTGACTGCTGCTTCCATTGGCATTGATTGTGGAATGAAGTAATGTGAAGTCTTTGACAACTTCAATCTTTTCTCCATTTTTCGTAATGCTGCTTGTTGGTCCAGTTGTGAAGATTTCTGTTTTCTTTATATTGAGGTGTAATCCATACTGCAGACTGTATTCGTCAATCTTCTTCAGTAATTGTTTCAAGTCATCCTCACTCTCAGCAAGGAATATCGTGTCATCTGCATATTGTAGGTTGTTAATGAATCTTCCTGTAATCCCAATGTCACATTCTTCTTCATATAGTCCAGCTTCTCTGATTATTTGTTCAGGGTAGAGATTGAATAAGTATGGTGAAAGAATATGACCCTGGCACACTCCTTTCTTGATTTTAAACCATTCAGTGTCCCCTTGTTCTGTTCGAATTATAGCCTCCTGGTCTATGTACAGGTTCCTCATTAAAACAATTAAGGATTCTGGAATTCCCTTTCTTCTCAATGTTATCCAAAATTTGTTATGATCCACATAATCAAATACTTTTGCATAGTCAATAAAGCAGAAGTAAACATCCTTCTGGTATTCTTCGCTGTCAGTCAAAAGCCACCTGACATCAGCAATGATATCCCTTGTTCCACATCCTCTTCTGAATCCAGCTTGCATTTCTGGAAGTTCTCTGTCAATATACCACTGTAACCATTTTTGAATTATCTTCAGTAAGATTTTACTTGCATGTGATATTAATGATGTTGTTTGATAATTTCCACATTATGTGGGATCACCTTTCTTTGGAATGAGTACAAATATGGATCTCTTCTTGTCAGTTGCCCAGGTAGCTGTCTTCCAAATCTCCTGGCATAGCCGAGTGAATGCCTCCAGCAGGGCATCCATTTGTTGAAACATCTCATTGGGTAGTCCATCAATTTCTGGAGCCATGTTTTTCATAACATCTTTCAGGGCAGCTTTGACTTCTTCCTTCAATACCATTGGTTCTTGATCATATGCCACCTCCTGAGATGGATGATCTTCAACCAATTCTTTTTGGTACAGTGACTCTGTTTATTCCTTCCATCTTCTTTTGATGTTTCTTGCATCATTTAAAATTTTGCCCATAGAAACTTTCAATATTGCAACTTGAGGCTTAAATTTTTTCTTCAGTTCTTTCTGCTTGAGAAATGCTGAGCATGTTCTTCCCTTTTGGTTTTCTAACTCCAGGTCTTTATAATTATTTCATTATAATAATTGACTGTGTCTTCTCAAGTTGTCCTTTGAAATCTTCACTTTGGCTCTTTTATCTTGTAATTTCTTCCATTTGCTTTAGCCACTCTTCATTCAGGGGCAAGTTTCAGAGTCTCTTCTGACTTCCATTTTGGTCTTTTCTTCCTTTCCTGTCATTTTAATGACCTTTTGCTTTTCATGGATGATGTTCTTGATGTCATCACACAGTTCTGGTTTTTGGTCATTGGTGTTCAATGCATCAAATCTATTCTTTAGACAGTCTCTAAATTAGGAGGGATGTATTCAAGGTCATATTTTGGCTCTCCTAGACTTGCTTTAATTGTCTCCAACTTCAAGTTGCACTTGTTGATTGTCTGTTGCACAATCAGCTCCTGGCCTTTATTTGGCTGAAGATATTGAGCTTCTCCATCGCCACTTTCCACAGATGTAGTTGATCTGATTCCTGTGTATGCTATCTGGTGAAGTCCGCATGTACAGCCACTGTTTATGTTGTTGAAAAAAAGGTATTTACAATGGATAAGTTGTTGGTCTTTAAAGATTCTATCATGCAATCTCCAGTGTCATTTCTATCACCAAGGCCAAATTTTCCGACTACCAGTTATTCTTCTTTGTTTCCAACTTTTGCATTCCAATCACTGGTGATAATCAGCACATCTTGATTGCATGTTCGGTCAGTTTCAGACTGCAGAAGTTGTTAAAAATCTTCAGTTTCCTGATTTTTGGCTTTGGTGGTTGGTGTGTAAATTTGAATAATAGTAGTACTAACTGACCTTCCTTGTAGGCATATGGATATGGATATTATCCTATCACTAAGAACATTGTACTTCAGGATAGATCTTGAAACATTCTTTGTGGTGATGAATGTCATGCCATTCCTCTTCAATTTGTCATTCCTGGCATAGTAGATCATATGGTTGTCTGATTCAAAATTGCCAAAACCAGTCCATTTCAGTTCACTAATGCCTAGAATATCAATCTTTATATATTCCATTTCATTGTTGACAACTTTCAATTTTCCTAGATTCATACTTTGTACATTCTATGTTCTGATTATTAATGGATGTTTGTGACTGTTTCTTCTCAGTTTGAATTATGCCACATCAGCAAATGGAGATCCAAAAGCTCTACTTTATCCATATTATTAAGGTAGGCTCTACTCTGATGAGGCAGCTCTTTTCCAGTGGTATCTTGAGTGCATTTCAACCTGAGAGGCTCATCTTCCAGCACTGTATCAGGCAGAGTTTTAGAGATATTTGTGTAGTTGTCCAGTAATGCATCAGACAGTGTTTCACTGCTATTCATAAGGTTTTCACGGGCCAATTCTTTAAGAAGTAGATGGCAA